CAACCCCAACCACAACCACAACCGCAACGACTACAACAATAACAACAACAACAACAACAACAGCAGCAGCCGCAGCAACAGCAATAACAACGACAACAACAGCCATAAGAACCACGTTTACAAAAGCAGCAGCAACAGCGCTAACACTATCACAGAGCCCGAACCCTATATATCATAAGACACAAATAGAAGCTATCACACTCAATCCTAAGCACTAAACCTCCAGCAACCCTTCAAACAAAAGACCCATACTCTTCCTAAACACTAAGTCCCTAAACCCCTAGCCTCGTTAAATTTAGACCGACGGCTGACTAAAACAAAGGGCGCGTTAAACATCACCTAGACACTTTTTACCACTAGGTTGATGATGGTATGTGTATATACATAATTATATACACACGTTCAGTTCATATATACATATATATATATATATACATATATATACATACACGTGTATGTATGTATATATATATACATGTATTATTCTCATTGTTCGTATGATGGTTACCTAAGTGCTGCGTGTATATATATATATATGTATATATACAAATATGGTCATTATTACACATACACATACATCTCTGTTTGGTTATGTGCATTTGGAAATGTGTTTCTGGGTTCCTATTGTGGAACTTTTGTACCCGAAAGTATATACCTCCCATTGGGTTACTACACAACCTCGAGCTAAAGCACTCAATCCCAAACCCTAAACCGTAGCAAAAGCAGAACCTAAACAGAAGCAAATGCTGAGCCACCCCACTCTCAGGATTACGTGGCGGGCAACTGGACCATGGAGGGTTTCGAAACGCAGGCGGCCACCCCAAAAGGTGCTACTACGCTGCTTGGCAGTTTCATTTAGGGTTCACGGTTGTAGTGGATGAGCGAGTTTAAGATTAAGGTTGTGGGGTTTTGCGTTCAGGGTCTGGTGGCTTATGGAGTTTAGGGTTTGGCCACAAGAAGTTTCATGTAGGCTTGCATTCAAAACAAGAGTCTTTGCGACACAAAAGCCTTCACTGATCAGTCCTCTCAGAACCTTACCTGCACCCCAAAAGAACCTCCTTTCTAGGGTTATCATCTCCTTATACAAGTCCTTAAAAAGGTACGTTCTTTGGGGTCTAGGTACTGTGAGAGGTCGGGCCCGCATCCGGAGCCCAAGCCCCCACTCTTATACTTGAAAAGTCCCCAACCCTAAACCCTACACCCCTTGATCTTATGTCACAAATCTTCATCCCAAACCATAAAACATGATGTCTGATGGAAATTTAGACAGCAATGTTGCATTATCTCACCCTAAACCCTCAACCCTAAACCTTAAACCCAAAACCATAATGGCTTTCTTTTGGGGGATTTCAGGGTGCAGTTTTGGATGTTAGGGAGTTGTTGGGGAGTTAGGGGAGACTTATCGGGTTTGTGGTTTGAGGGCTGTTGGATTTCCGGTCATGGGGTGTTAGGGTTTTGGGTTTAGGGTTTAGGGGTTAGGGGTTTAGGGGTTTAGGGGTTTAGGGTTTAGGGTTTAGGGTTTGGGGTGTTAGGGTTTTGGGCCTCCAGTCCAGGTAAATAGAACCTTGCTTTACTAACTCCCCCAAAATCTGAAAACCCTAAAGCCCTAAATCCTAAACCCTTTTGAAGCCGTACCGAGCCTGTAACCTTACTTACTAACGTCCTCTGATCGTCCAAGTCTGCCTTCGGGATGTAGGTTTGGGGGTTCAAGGCTTAGGTTCATGGGGCTTATAGAACTACACAACAACAAAAAGGGAGTTTTTTCCCCAGGTTACTGGGCATCCTAGTCCCTTCAAGGACGAAGGGACGATTCTAAGATCTAGGGGTTAGCATCTTAAATACGAGGGGCTGCACGATCGTCGTACCTGTAGCCGTTTTTCGAAACCCGCTTCTTCAAGATCAATGATGACAAACTGATGAATAATGACAAAAGGCCTACCTGCAACATTTCTGAAGGAATCACGGCCTAGTACATCCTAGTACCATAAGCACCCTGAAAGAAGGGATCGCAGTGTTAAGAAGCCACACATTACCCGCTCAAAAGCCCTTATGAAACCCACATAACCTCTTTGTATAGGAAAAACTCCTATCTAAGCCCTAGGCCCTAAACCCTAAAACCCTAAAACCCTAAAACCCTGAAACCCAAAGCCCTAAACCCTAAACCCTAAAACCCTAAGCCTTAAAAACCCCAGGCCCTTAATCCCAAACCCTAAAACCCTAAGCCCTAAAACCTTCAAGCACTAAAACCCTCCTAAAGCCCTAAGCCCTAAAACCCTCAAGCCCTTAAGCCCGCAAGCGCTACATCCCCCAGACCTTCCAAAGTCCTTTAATTCAGGAGTATAAACCTTAAATCATTCGGAATTCGGGTTCCTACTATGCTGTTCAGGGTTTAGGGTTTTCATACCTTAAGGTATACCCGAAACCCTAAACTCTAAACCCTAAACCCCTAAACCCCTAAACCCTAAACCCCCAAAACGTATATTACCTTAATTAAAAGTATGAAACCCTAAACCCTAAACAGTAGAATAGGAACCCTAGACTTGCAGCTATATACCTTCATTAAGGCATGGTGGAAGGTTCTGGGCCCCCCCTAAACCCTAAACCCGAAGCCCTAAACCCTAAACCCTCAACCCTAAGCCCTAAACCCCTGTAAAGGAACCCCTAAACCCGCCCGAAATCCGAAGCATCCTCCAGGTTTTCAATCCTCCATCGCTCCTGCTGCGCAGCTTGACCATGAAAGTTGTTAGGGTTTAGGCTTTCACGGTTCTTAGGGTTTGGGTTTTTAGGGTTTTTTAGGGTTTCAGGGTTTTAGGGTTTCAGGGTTTTAGGGTTTTAAGGGTTTTAGGGCTTTTGGGTTTAGGGCTTTAGGGCTTTAGGGCTTTAGGGTTTTAGGGTTGTAGTGTTTAGGGTTTTAGGGTTTGGAAGTTCCCTAACGCCTAGTATAGAAGCCTAAATAATTACCAAGATTCTTCCTTATAATACTATAAGCCCTAAACCCTAAACCCTAAACCCTAAACCCTATACAGGAGCCCCAGACCCCCATTGGAATTATGAAGGCCCCTACATGAAACCGTCCTAAGCCGGAAGTTGGGAAGTTCCTGATTATTGCCTGGTGGAGACTCAAAGGGGGTGCCTTGTCTAGGGTTTAGGGTTTCGGGTCTAGGGTTTAGGGTCTAGGGTTTAGGGTCTAGGGTTTAGGGTTTAAGGTTTAGGATTTAGGATTTAGGGTTTAGGGTTTAGGGTTTGGAGTCCTTCGTATATGTATGGAAACATTGTATAGTTCATGCCAAGCAGATGTATTGACTTAGGTTGTTTAGAGTATATATCCCCAAACCCAAAAAAAAGCCCTCAACCCTTATCTTCAGGATTTAGGGTTTAGTGCTCACGGTTTAGGGCCGAGGGTTCCCCCACCTCAACCGCAAAAGCTGCATTAGAGGGGCGACAGCAGGAAGAAACGATACAATCGATACAACAAACACGTCAGTCGGGGCTTCCGGGCTTCACAGGGCATATAAACTCTCTACAGAGGGCTCAGAAAAGATATCCTGTCTGCCTAAACCCTAAACCCTAAACCCCATTAACCCTAAACCCGGCTGCTGGAGGAAACCCCAAACCCCAAAACCTAAAGCTTTGCTCTGGACGCATCCGACCAGAGAAGCCAATGGCCAACGTCCCCTGTCTGGACCTGGCACGCGCGTCATACAACAGACACGCCCTTCTCGAGAAGAAGCGCATATCGGTGCTTTCCTACATGGAAAAAGAGGGCGTCCCCCTCATCCCTCAGGACTACGCCATCAACCAGCCAGACATTGGAGCAGGCGACTTCTTCGCAGTCAAGGATTTCCAGGATGTGCTCGAGTATGCCAAGCGTAAGGCCTGCGAGCAGACAGAAAGAGGCACCAGTGACACAGACGCTCCACCCTACAATACTCCCAGGGTCCCAGTACAAAACTATGGTTGAGGTTTTCCAAAGTCCCCAGACCACACCTCTACATAATGTAGTGTTTGCATCAGCATATAAGGACCGTATTCTTAACACAGGCCGAAGAAGAGGCATGCAATTCCCATACTGGTTGGAAATAATATAACTAAAAGGAACTCCCCGCATTTATGGAAGCCGGGCCACCCCGCAGCGAGAACCCCTCAACATAAGTATGTGATAATCTCCAAAGAGCTGCGGAAATCGTCTTTTGAGTTGGCGCCAGAGCGCGCGCGCACAGAGCGCGCAGGGCCGCCCTAAAAAAAAGCCTTGCTCTGGCCCTAAACAGTGCGCCAGCATAACCCCCAACACCGCTGACCCTAAGACCCTAAAGCCCTAAACTCTAACACCCTACACCCTGAAACGTTAAAACCTCCAAAGATAAACCCCAAACACCCTAACGTAGGGCTCTAAATAATTCCCAACACTATTCTGGAGGTTCCTTATTATAGCTATAGTAAAACGGGCCCCCAAACCCTAGTGGGTTTAGGGTTTAGAGTTTAGGGTTTAGGGCACATATCCCCCACATCCTAAACCCCAAATCATACACCCTAAACCCTGATCAAAGCCACTTCGGTGGCAAACCCTAAACCCTAAACCCGGTTTAGAGGCGTCTCGGCTGCAAGCTGTGGG